CTTGCTTTTTATTCAATCTGATAGTCTGATATTTAATTGAGTTATTTACAATATTTTATTTTATTTAACCAAATCTATCAACTGTTATATGCTTTCATTATTGTCATTTCCTTTTTTTCTTCCCCCCTTTAGAATAATTAAATGTTTTTAACAATTCCATTCTATTTCCTTTGTTGACTTATTAGCTATAAATCTACCTCATTTCTTTGCTTTCTATCCAAATGAGTCTATGGAACTGCTTGTACATTGTTTAATCCTTATGCAAACTTGTCCTCCAACATCAGAATTATAATCCTAACTTGAAATTTCTTTTACTTAAGATATTTCCACAATTGTAAAAATTAATCTCAGGTTTCTAAATCATGAAATAATTTGAATTCAGATTATTAACCAAATGATAGAATATTGGAGGTGTAATTGAATAGAATTGTTTCATTTGTTCATTTACTCATTGGTTCATTATAACAATCCTATCAGACTTGTACAGGAGAGGCTATCTCAACTCACTTCCACATAGCCCCCTACCAAAATGACTAATGTATTCCCCTGCTTCTGTAAAACATGCAGGCTGATGTCCAGGACTTGCCAAAAGGATATCAGAGAGTAGTTAATAAACTATTCCTGCTCCTACCAGTTGAATTTCATGATAATCAAGAAATAATTGTGCATTTACCTCAATCTGGTTTTGCCAATTATTTTGCAGTAAATTATGTAATTTAATTTTAAAATGATATAACCAAATAATAATGGACTGTGAAAACAGTTATATTTATGAAAATTAAGCTGAATATTCTGGAAAGACTCAAGAAGTAAAAAGAATTAGTAATAATTTAGATAAAACCAAGACAACTATGAAATTAGGGAGATATTTTCTAAATCTGGACAAAATTTCTCTCACATTCACCTCCAACTGAAAATTATAGCCAATAAATCATAGGTATTATTAGTACTATAAGATGATACAAAATTCTAATCAGTAGGTTCCAAAGAGTCTTGGACTCACACCAAAAAATTGATGAGTAAATGAGTTATTTAAATGTTTTATGTTATAATACAATGTTTAAGCTAAATATGCACTGTTTTTATGATTTTCCTTTTTAATCAACTTTCTGTATTAACCAACAAAGTATATGACCCAAATGAGTTATATAGTTTCAATCCTTTTTTTACAAAGAGAAAAAAAGTGAGTCATCAGTTAAATAACAATCAGTAAATCAGAAGGTCAGATTATAAACTCAGACTGCAAATATCCAAAGCTGAATGGTATCTTCTGCTGGCAACAACATACCACTCAGTATACGATTACTAAAATAAGACATAGGCCACTTCAGGATGAATAGTCTATTTAATATTTATAGTCTTTATAATTATATTTATAGTTTTTACTCTTGCTATTATCATTTTTTACCCTTACCAAAAACAAATTATGAATAATGATAGGAATATCATTACTGAGCAGGACAAAGCCATAACAATATAGGTTACAGGGCTGGAGAGCAAGTAGAACAGATGGAAGATCACTGAGGTAATTCTAGAGGAGATGGTAGTTACATGCACTAGGAACCTGAATGTGAATGTTTGGAACACATGCTTGTAATGTTCAGAGTCAGCATTACGTAGGTCAATAAAGGTTAAAAAGGCAGGCTCTGGAATCAGACTGCCTGAATTTGGGTCCTGGCTCTACCTTTGACTATCAAGTAATATTGGACAATTCATTTAACCTCTGTGTTTCCTCATCTGTGAAATGAAGACGATAACTCCTATGGCATAAGGCTGTTTTAAAGATTAAATAAAATAAGCTGCATAAAAGAGTGCCTGCAACATAGTAAGCACAGATTATTCACCAGATAACATAAGGTTCTCAACCTTCCTAATGCCGCGACCCTTTAATACAGATCCTCATGTTGTGGTGACCCCCAACCATAAAATTATTTTCGTTGCTATTTCATCACTGTAATTTTGCTACTGTTATGAATCGTAATGTAAATATCTGAAATGCAGGATGTATTTTCAGGGGTCACGACCCACAGGTTGAGAACCGCTGGAAGTAATGCCATGAGTGACCAGTCTACGAGGATTCACATCTCAGTGCAATTACTTACCAGCTCTGTAACCCTAAGGAAAGTTTAACCTCTCTGGGCCTCAAATCCCTCATCAGTAAAATGTGCATAATAAAAGCTCCAATCCCACAAGATTATTGTGAGGATTTCAATAAGTTAATAAATGTAAAGTGACTGAGATTTAACTGCTTAATCTAATAAATGTTAGCCACTACTGTTTTGTATATTACTGGCTTTTCAGCTAATTGAAAATTGCTCTTTCTGAGAGCATCCAGATGTTAGTTACCACCTTTGGCTCCATGCTTCTCACCCTCCAAAATAAACAGGACTCAAACAATTTATTTCTATACAGATAGATCACCAGTGCCATCTAGTGGTATTGCTAACAAATTCACCAAATGAGTGATATTGCCCAAAAACGGGTAAAATTTCTACAGATATAAATTTAATTTTTAAGACAGACTAAATTGAATGTTGTTATTTGGAAATTTGTAACATTTTATATAACTACTAGAGGCCCAGTGCACAAGATTCATGCACTGGGGTGGGGGAGGGGGGGTGGAGGACGGCCCTCAACCCGGCCTGTGCCCTCTCACAGTCTGGGACACCTCAGGGGATGTCTGCCTGCCAGCTTAGGCCCAAACCCCGATGTCTGCCTGCCAGGTTAGGCCCGATGCCCCTGGGAATTGGGCCTAAGCCGGCAGGCAGACATCTCTCTCTCAGTCCACTCACCTGCCACTGCTTTGCTCGCCAGCCATGAGCCCAGCTTCTGGCTGAGCAGCACTCCCCCTGGGGGAGCACACTGACCACCAGGGGGCAGCTCCTGCATTGAGCGTCTGCCCCCTGGTGGTCAGTGCGCATCATAGCAACCAGTCATTCCGCCGTTTGGTCGATTTGCATATTAGGGTTTTATTATATAGGATTTGGATGAAGTACAAATGCAAATGAGAGAAATTTCATAAACTCCAAACTATAAATAGATTGCTTGGCAAATACAGTACAAAAAAGTCTTTTACTTTTTTTTGCATGAGCCAAACAAGTGGGTTTAAACCCATTGCCAATATTTTTGGATAGATTTATGATGCTTGCAAACCCCTGATAATATCTAGACCTCAGTTTCTTATAATATGAAATGAAGGTGTTGTACATGTTGAATTTCTTTCCAGTTCTAAAAGTAAGTGATGAATTATTATACTAATTTTAACAGGATGAATCCATAGTATTACCTATCAGAAGCACTTTCTGCCCTGACCGGTTTGGCTCAGTGGATAGAGCGTCAGCCTTCAGACTCAAGAAGCATTATCTCAGAGGGAAACCTTGATGACTTGATAACTTCCAAGATCCTTTCCAACTTTATTATTTTTTAAAATGCAGCCGTGTTGGAATTAGACATATAAATTTTTGGTATAATTTGAGCAGCACATAAGTTATAACATACTAAGATGTTAGGTTATATTGTTGGAGAAATTAAAATATTAATACCATATAAAGATGCAAAGCAAAGCATCATGCATCTTTATTTTCTGCAAGTCCAAACTTACAGAAGGTGCGAAACTGCACAAAACTAATGTAACCTATACTATATCAGTAGTCCTTGCTTTGCTCGTTGAAAATGCACAAATTTTAGAGTCACAATTAATTAAATAACACCAGCCCTCCAATAACACAATTCACATGTCAGTGACCATGGTATATTAACTATATTATGTCAGAGTTGCTGGCTCTTTGGTCTGTAAATCCCTATTTAAATAATAGATGTAGCATCAGGAGCAGTGACCAACATATCACTTCTTTCAAAGTTCATCGGTGATTGCCCACTGCACATTTGTATTCAGTTCAAACATAGACAGCAAAGCATGTTGCCTCCTTGTCTCCAAGTGTAATGTCACAATTCACATGACATTTCCCCAAAGTGAGTAATCAACAGAGGGAATTAGCCTATGAGGAGGAAAAGTACAGCAGAGTCAAAATGTGATTGCTAGAACTGAAAGTGGATTGAATAGATCTGAAAATGGTGACAGCCAAGCAAAGACATGAAAAATCTAGGCCCTCATGAAGTGAACATCAGACCTATAACCTAAAAAACAAGCTCAAGTTGCTTCAACAGGGTGCTAATTGAATATAAATGGCTGTACAAGAAATAGGTGACTGGAATGTTGACACTGCGCCCTTTGGAGCAACTTAGCTAGGCAGTGACAGGAATTCAGAGAAGGTGAACTTACCAACATCAATGAGGAAAGTTATGACAAAAAGAATGACAATGTCCCAGAGGAAGTGACACTGGCATAAAACTTCGCTTTGAAGAAACTCAGAAATATTTACAACTTTAAAAGTACAAAGAAAAAAATGAAAGCTGATCCAAACTTAAAAAAAAATATGAAAGTTCAAGTCACCAAGACTTAGAAAAGATGCTTGTTCCATATGTAAGTCATACAATGAGAAGACCGTAAGTTCTGTTCAAACTCTTGACAAGTTTTTTGTAAAGAAATGAAATACTTTCATTCTCAATGTTTTAATGTTTTAAACTACAGTGTACTAAATAAATACTAGTCTTACTATTTTTCATTTCCCTATACATTTATAAACCACAGTAAGTAAATTTATAATGGTTTGAGAAAACATTTTAGAGTCATGGAACAATTGTCATTTTTGCCCTTGATTATTAAGATCACTTTGCCTGATTTCAGCTTACAGTCATTTTACGGTCTTGCAATACTGTGCAAAGCAAGGACTGCGTGTATTGTCAATGTCTAAGTTGTTCTTTCACAATTTTCAGTCACTGTAAGCATAAGTCATTCAGAAATTGTCACTATTACATGATAGTATAATAGCTTGATCCCTTCTGAACAAATTATATAAAATACTTGCAGTATCATGACATAATGCTGAAAGGTGCCCTTTATCCTAACCAAAGCAGACATATAGAAAAGCATTAAATACCTGGCAGTGGCAACTGAACTAATATGCCACTGACTCTTGGGTCCATGTTCAATTGATCAGTTATATCCAAAAGCTCTTCTTGAGAAACATCCTTAGGCTTTAGAATGATCTCACTATAGATACCTAGAAGAAAGCAAGCACAGACAGTCACCTGACTAACAAAGTTGTGTGCTTTTCATTAGTGGTGTCTTACACAGTGTGTAACTCAAGCATGTCAAACTCAAAGGCTAACATGGACCAAATAAACAAGGTTTAAGTTTATGTGGGCCACAAAAAAACAAAAGCTTCAATTTTCATTGAAATGTAGGTTTATTTTGATAGAGAAATGGTGAATACAAAGGGCTGAAATAAACGAGTAATCATTAATATAAAATAATAGAACATTTTAATCAAAATTAATATTTTTCTTGAACATTAACTTACCAGACACTGAATAACTGCACAAATTAATAAGCGTAATGCAAATAAACCTATTTCTCTTGTTCTCCGAAAGTGAAATATTTCCTGTCGCACACACCAAACAAGCCAGTCCAAGACTAATGACCTGGCAATGGGCTGCTAAAATATTCGCTGCTAGTATTAGTGGAGAGAAATGGTGCGCCTGCACATAAGGCGCGTAAGGGAGATGAATGCAACATGATTACAGTAATCAGTCATTAGCAAACATTGTAGTTCATTATTAATAATTATGTATAACAGGATATTGTAAAAGTTAAGTTATGAAATTTTTATTAAAATGTTTCTTAGATACCATTATATTGGCTGGGCCACATGCAGTCCGCGAGTTTGACATGCTTTGTGTAACTGGTTTTCTCTGCTCCTGTCCCACAGGAAGGAAAGGCCCTTCTACAAAAATGGTGTTCTAAGCATCATCAGAAGAGATATCTCAAACAGGATTCACATGCATTCTTTGGCCCAGGATCCTATGTGGCAAATTGCCCTTATTTGTGATAAGCTACTATTAGTGAATTTGAATACAGTAAAAACATCAATAGCACCACCACTACTGACAGGTCAAGCTTGACAGAGTGAACTGGCCAGATTTATTATCTCATTAAAGCAAATGTATTAAAAATGGTCCTTTTAAGGGTAAAGTCTTCCTCTCACATCTCACCATAGCATCTGAAATCACATTGAATTGATTCAATAAGAAATTTAAAGACAAGGGGTAAGAAATGAACATAAACATTGGTAACTAAAAAAATCTATCATAATAATAAATTTATTCAAATAACACTTATTTGACAATGATTTTTCATTATTACAATTTGAAGTAAAACCAGAAACATTCTTTAGTAACAAGCACAACTAAAGCATCCCTACCTACAGCAGAGGCGGCTCGGATCTTCTTCCTGACGTAGGTGTGGCTTGCTGGGTTATCTCCCACTAAAATGATACTGAGGTGAGGTCTTCTGTTCCCAAGGGAAATCCAGGACTCCACACCCTCTTGTATTTCTTTCTGGATTTGTTTGGCCATTTCAGTTCCTGAGATAATAATAGCATCGTGTCTATGGGGAATAAAAGATTAAATGTAGTACTGAAGACGACAGTAAGGCGTATTCAACAACATACGTTTAAGATACAAGAACGACTAAAACATTCGTGGTTCTCCAAGTGAGCATCCAAAATTTGGTTTTCCAAGTATATATGACACCCAATTCTTCAGGTTCATAAATATATTTATAATTTTGTGAAATATTCTAGCTCTGCTTTTTAGTTTTACATCTGCATTATATCTATAGTATACATTTCTTTATAACTACCATGTGGATTTTTTAAATTATCAAACCACATACTCCAGATCTGGACTATAATACTGGCTCTGTTGAAAGCTCTGCTATTTTTTAGAAGCAGCAGATCAGCACAGTCTAGTTAAAAACTGACACCCATCTTCAAAGCCTTGTGCCATGTAGTATGTGACCCCACAGTATTGCGACCCTAAGGCTAGTGTGTTCACTATTAGTTACTGTACCCTATACAGGACCTGAAGTCATGAGCTCTGTACTGCACAACTCTTTTAACTTTATTCCACAGCCTTAGGACAGCTCCATGACAACAGCTGCCAGTCTTGTCATGCTTGTCAGTGATTACTGTGGGGACCAGGTCAGTAACAATGGGCAATTGTTCCCCATACCATGGCATCATTTCTAATGGAAAAAAAAAATTGCACAGAACATTACTTCCTGCCAGTTTATATAAGTACTTAAAAGGTAAGAAATGCTATGCTTTGATAGGTAACATAAATCTATCTCTGGAACGGCAGAAAGAAATGCATTATGGGAAGGCTTGCCAGCTCACCATGATGCCAAACTTAAGAGTGATAAATTGTGTTACTCTTACTGTGTGTTTATTTCTTAAAGGTACCTGATCTATAATAATAAAAGCATAATATGCTAATTAGACCGGACGTCCTTCCGGAAAACCTTCCGGATGAAGCCGGAGCTACGAGGGAAGCCTGGGTCCTGGGTTCCAGAGGGAAGCCAGCGCCAGCAGCCGGGGGAAGGAAGGCCTACTCGTGCACGAATTTCATGCATCAGGCCTCTAGTAAAGTATAAGATGGTTCCTTCTTCATGCTGCCATGATTATTACACAAAATGCCAAATGCAAGCCAATGAATATTGTGAAGAAGAGGAAGAGGAGGAAGCAGAAGAAGAAAAGGAGGAAAGAAAAATCTTACAGCACCTTAATTCTTTCTAATATCTGTATACTTTTTATTTTCTAACAAATGTGGGCACATTGAATATCAGCCAACACACAAGTGCAAACTTGCTGCCTCTTCCAAATAAGTCAGCTGCCTTCTCTAATAGGTGGTGTAAATACAGGTAGAACCAGATCAAGAATACTCCATTTCCGTCTGGCCCCAGTGGTCCACAGTGCTCATCCAAGTTCATACAATTTTGATGTAAACATTGTTCTGGGAAGAAGTGAATCCAAAATGTGGCCTATGGATAGATACATTAAAATTGCCTGGGAAGCCTGCTAAACTTGCAGATGCCCAGACCCCAAGACCACATTCACAATTCAGTCCCTAGAGGGTGAAGCCTAGGAATCCGCATGTCTAACAAGTTCCCACAAGTGTTCTTGTGCATGACAATGTTTGAAAGCCACTTCTGCAGTTCAACACAAAAGTACATTTTAATAATAATCATAACCCTGGGTAAATAATTGAGAGAATAAACTGGTTAGACAATACAATTAAAACTAGACCTTATAATTATAAGTAAACTACTTTTGATTCTAACTTTGTTGACTTTTCACTAAAAATTTAATAGCTTTCAAGACATGGAAGTTCATGGAAAATTCAGTGTGACACATTTGCTTCACTGTCCTAAATTTATAACAGCTTTATTGAAGTACTAGAGGCCCGGTGCACGAATTCATGCATAGGTGGGGTCTGGCCGGCCTGCTCCATCGGGGCCAATAGGGCTAGGCCAGCCAGGAAGTGGGGCCACGGTCAGTTGGCTGGCCGGCCCTGTCCCCTGGTTGAACTCCCGGTCGAAGGGACAATTTGCATATTAGCCTTTGATTATATAGGATAATTGACATACAATAAACTGCATACATTTAAAGTATACAACTTGATGTTTTAATATATGTATGTACCTGGGAAACCATTACCACAATTAAGAAAATGAACATAGCCATCACCCCCCAAAATTTCCTGGTACTCCATTTATAATCTCACCATTCTACATGTCCCTGCCATGTACCTCCACCGCCTGCACCCCCTGCCCCCCATCACCAGGCAACCACTAATTTGCTTTCTGTCACTCCATATTAGTTTGTATCATCATGAATTTTATAAAAATGAAATTATGCACTACACTCTCCTTTTTATCTATCTACTTTCACTCACCATAATTAAGATTCATTAATGTTGTTGCATGTATCGATAGTTCATTTCTTTTTATTGCTGAGTAGTTTTCCATTGTATGGATATACAGAAAATTGTCTATCCATTCAATTGTTAATGGGTATTTGGGTTGTTTCCAGTTTGTGGTCATGATAAATAAAGCTGTCTGGAACATTCATCTTTAAGTCATTGTATACACATATGCTTTCATTTCTCTTGCACAAAATTTGAGCAGAATGGCTGAAACATATGGTAAGTATATGTTTAAATTATTAAGAAACTGTCAACCTGCTTTCCAAAGTGGTTGTAGCATTTTACATTTCCACAAGCAGTATATGAGAGTTCCAGCTGCTCAACATACTTGCCATCACTTGGTATTGCCAGTCTTTTACATTGTAGACATACTAGTGCCTATACGGTATGTTGGTATCTCCTTGTGCTTTTAATTTGCATCCCTATAGTGAATAATGATGTTAAGCATCTTTCCATGTGCTTATTTACCATCTGCCTATCCTCTTTGTTGAACTGTGTAATTTAATGTTTTGCCCATTGTTTAATAGATTATTTCCTTACTATTGAAGTTGTGAGGGTTATTCATAATATCCTAGATTCAAGTCCTATATCAGGTTTGTGATTTAAAATATCCTCTCCTAGTCTGTGCTTTACCTTTTCATTCTCTTAACTGTGTCTTTGGAATATCAATTCTAAATTTTTATGTATTTCAATCAATTTTATTTTTATGGACCATACCTTTGGTATTGGTATAATGAATCTTTGCCGCACTCAGGGTCACAAAGGTTTTCTCCAGTGTTCCCTTCTATAAGTTTTATGGGTTCAGGTTATACATTTAGTTCTATAATTTAGCTCTATTCATAGTTAGATGAGAGCTTATATCAGAATATTATCTAATTTTTTTTCTGAATTTATTGAGATTATCATATATAATCACATGGACTTTTGGTTTTAGTGTGTTAATATGGTGAATTAGATTGATTGATTTTTAAATGTCAAACCAACATTGCATTCGTGGGATAAACCTCACTTGGTCATAATGCAACTATCCTTTCCAGATATTGTGGATCTCATCTAAAATTTTGTTACTTGTTTTGCATCTATGTGCATGAGAGGTATTTGTCAGTAGTTTTCACTTAATGTAATGTTTTTATATGGTTTTTGTACTAGCGTGATGATGCCCTCATAGAATGAGTTAGGATGTACTCCATCCTCTTTAAGAGTTTCTGCAAAATTGGTATTATTTATTCCTTAAATATTTGGGAGAATTCACCTGTGAAAATATCTGATCTTTGAGGTTTCTTTATGGGGAGGTTTAAAACTATAAGTTTAACTTTTTAATATACAGTGCTATTCAGGGTATTCATTTTTTCTTGAGTTTTTATAGTTTGTGTCTTTGTACATTCTAATAATTAGTACATAATTATAATGATAGACTAAATCAAGTTAAGATAAAATACTCTTACTTTTGAGTTTAAATTTTATTTTTCAAGATTAAGTAACAAACTTCACTATTTACTATGAATTTCTAGAGCTCATTTTTTATTAATAAATTTAGTGGCCTTTTAATACTAAGAGAACAAGGACCTCTATATTAGTAAATACTAAGGCTGCAGATACAGCAACTAATTCCAGCATGGCTCATTTATAAAAGATAGTTAAACAATAAATACTTTCCATAAATTAAATTGTGTCAGCAATATTCCGTTAGGGTAAAATACTGGATTACAGAAGCAGTTTTATATGCTAATAAACTTTAATTCACTCTTATAGTAGAGAACATACATTTATATTTTAAAACACAAAACCACCTAAACTCCATGTTGCATTTTATAGCATATGAATAGCAGTGCTGCTTCTGATAGGTCTTATAGTTGATTCTCTGTTCAACAGAATAATTTGTTCATAGGCTACTGTGAAACAGGCAATCACTGAAAATAAATCAAGATAATTACAGTCAAGAAACTACAAAGAGAATGTCAGAGTCAACATTGGCATAAATTGATTCCTGGCTTCCGAAGAGACAATATACATATTAAATTTCACTGCAGTCTGTATGTTGGGGTCTGAGAGAGTGACAGTGCCTACTTTACTTTATTGCACTGAGATGCTAAGTTAGTTCGCTAATTATAGCTAACATTAGAGGCCCGGTGCATGAACTTGTGCAAGGGTGGGGTCCCTCGGCCTGGCCCGCAATCAGTGCCAATTGGAGCCATCTTGCCCAGTCCCGACTGGGGCCAATCGGGGCCACTGCCCCAGGGGAGAGACCGTAGGAGGTTGGCTAGCCATGGGAGGTTGGCTGTGGGAGCACACTGACCACCAGGGGGCAGCTCCTGCATTGTCTTCCCCCTGTGGTCAGTGCGTGTCATAGCAATCAGTCGACCGGTTGGTTGACTGGTCCTAACGGTCACTTAGGCTTTTATATATATAGATGATACAGCCTGAATTAGCTTGTGTTTATGGGTAAATATCCACAACACTGCCACCCAATTATGAGTACAGACTTTGAGCATTTTCAGCAGCAGCTGACCCATCCTCTTGATTTCCTCAGTCACTGAAGAGCCTCAATAAGCCTGGCCTTGTGGGAGACACACTATCCTATATAATAAAAGTCTAATATGCAAATCGACCAAAAGGCAGAAC